CCCCAAAACCCCAAAACCCCAAAACCCCGAATTTGAGAATTACTGTAACATAGCTAATTAATAATAATTTATACAAAATAATAATTATAATATTGTCTTCATAAGCGTTTAGATGTTTTAATTTTGATAATTTGATTATTTTTTAACAGCTAATTTAGGTTTCATAGACATTCTCAGTCAATGATCATCATTATCTTTTTATACTTGTCTTGAAGTACTGGCTAGTGACTTGGTCTTGGAGAAATATTTTCTGCTGTTATTTCTTCAGGATAAGTTAATACATTCTTAACTCCTGTGCTATCATTAGCTATTCTCTTATATGATGGAACAAAGTTTTAGAGATTTTGAGTATTAATAAGATTGGCGTTATTTTCATGATGAGCCAAGATATTTTTAAAGTTGTAAGTTTTAGCCAAACTTTCATCCGTACTTTCAGTTGTCTTAGTATAAGCAACATTAAATTAAGTCTAATTCTTAGAGGTGCTTGACTGAAACCCAAATAATGTATTCTACTGTCTCGATCTCTGTTTCCCTTTTGAAGATGGGACATTTTTAGTGGATAGGAAACTGGACTTTGTTAGAGTATTGTTAATTGATCTGTCTTTGCTCAATCCTTAAGACTTGTCTAAATCTTTGAGAACAGGCTTAATGAATGTTGATCTGTTTATCAATTATGACTTGTTCATATTCTACTCTGAGGAGGGAACCTTGACGAGCTTTTGAGACTTCAATTAGTTGATTCTTGGCTTTGAAGCTGATTTTTGAATCTTTGAATCTTTTTACTCTTTTACATCCTTCAAACCTTGAATAAGTGGATCAATAATGGTTTAGTAATCTTTTCTAATTTTTTGATCTATTTTTTATTTGATCTATTCGACCTCTTTAGATACTACATTTTACTTCCTCGGCATTATATCTTTCTCATTTATTGGAGATATTGATTATTTTCTAGCTGTTCCTTGAACATGTGGCTTAAGTTAAGCAGAACTTTTGTTCTAATTAAAGAAAACTCCAGGTTTTTTTATCTCATCATTTTTGGGTGACATTATGAAGGACTATTTCATTTATCTTCTTACTTCTAACAAGTCTCGAGCAGACTTTATAGGCAATTACTAGATGAAATTTTTAATTGGTGAAACCTTCGAACTAGATTTAGGAGCTATCCAATCAAATTAATTGTCATAGTAATAATCATTCTTGTCCATTAATTTCTTGAATAGATTTCTTAAGTACTAATAGTCAGGCTTATCTTCGAAGGCTAGGCTTCTGATATAAGTGAAATACTGTTTAAATTCCTCATCAAGATCCTCAGTCAATTCTTCAATTGTAGTATTCATTTTCTTTTCCCTAATTTGTTCGGTTTTGTCAATTGTATTTCGAGTTGCAAGTCCTTACCAAGGCAACTATCCCTTGAGGAAATAAACTAGAAGGAAACCTAATGATTCCAAATCATCTCTTCTTGATTACTCATAACCCTCATGGGCGCTGGCAGAAGCATATCTCGCGGTGCCTGTCAGTTCTTTACGGTCTTTCATTGGTATATGTGCACCAGTCTTTGGATCTTTGAACCTCTTAGCCAAGCCGAAGTCAATCAAGTGAACTGTAGTTGATAGTATCTTTTTCCTGCTACCCTTAGGGTCTCTTCCCATTAGGAAATTTTCAGGTTTGATATCTCTGTGCAAAAAGTTATGACTATGAACTAGCTCTACTCTCTAAATCATCTAATCAGCAAGCATTAGCACAGTTTTTAAACTGAATTTTCTTTTCTATTGCTGAAACAAATCCTCTAATGATTTGTCTAGTAAGTCCATTATCATGCAGTTCATGTCACCCTCCTAACCGTACCAATGGACAGCTGGTATACCAACTAAAATTGCTTATAAAACAGTAAATATGAATCATACTTGAACCTTGCATCATTTTGTAAAGCTTTGATTCAAATAATAACTAAGGATACTTAGTTTTCATCGGTTCCTATAAATTTACGTTTAATAATCGGGAAAAAGTCTTAAAATGAAGTTTAATGTGTGTAAACTGATTATCGTGTAATGAACAAAAGAAAACTTACCATTTTCACTGCAACTTCTTCACCAGTCTTGCCATGAATGCCTAAATAGATAAATTGAATAAAAGCAAAGTCTTAAAATCTTACCAATATAAATATCACCGAAAGACCCACTACCTATCTTGCGGGATAGCTTGTAAATTTAGCCAACTCTATCCATTCTTTTTTTAAGAATTATAAACTGTTTAATTATGATAGGAGCTTTATTGCTTATTTTAATTTACTACACTGATAATTAGAAATTCTGCTAGAGGGGTTTTGGGGTTTTGGGGTTTTGGGG